AAGAGGTTTATTTAGAATATTTTTTGGTTTTTGCTTATTTTTAACAATTTAAAACTTCTCAGAACTTAAATATTTTCTATAAGAAAGAGGTACAAAATTATATGTTCTTGCATTTTTAATTGCAATTAAATTCATGAATCTCGAACACTCCGTCATTTATTACACTTGCAACCTTGCAAACTTTTTGAAATCACAATTTAAATACACACAAATAAAATTTATGAAATATTTTTGACAGCTCTGACATTTCTCTACCAAACATGAATTGACTAATTCAAAGCCATCTAAATTTTAAATTATAAATAAAACTAACAATATCGCTACTAAACGGGCATTAAAAAAATTAATATATCTTTTAAAGGAATAAAAATAACAAAACAAGACTAACTGGACTGAAAAGATGAAGGTGGGAACTACATTTCCTGAAAGTTTCAGATTTTTATTTTTTCCTCAACATAATGATTTCTGAGGGCTAATTTTGAGAATTATCAATTTTCAATAATTTTTTTAATAAAGAAATTGATAGTCTAAAAACTTAAAATAATAGTTACGTTTTCTATTGTATAAGTACTTTATACCTGAAAAAAATTAACCTTCTAACTTCAGTAGAATAGGCACAGGAGTCAGACAAAAATCACAAAAATTGGCAAATTTTCATGAATGTGGTTTACCATTCTTTTATGAGATTAACTAATTGGATAATAATAATTTATATCGAAAACACACTTACTGAACAGTAAAACAAAATTAAAATTATTTCAATATTTGTCACAGAAAAAAAGTTCTGGCCCACTATAAGAGAGTAAGAAATTGACACTATTTCATACTTCTAAGGGGTGCCAAATAAAAGTAAAGCAACAAAAAATTAAAACGGCAACGGATTTTTATATTTGACACCTAAAAGATCATCCTCAAATTTTTTTATTACAATAAAAAATCATGCAGAGCACTTTTAAATTCATTTTTGGTGTTTTCATTTGGATTGACTCGATTGCGAAGTTTGCCTTTAGAATTTAGGTATTATTATTAGGCCATGCAGTTAAATAAATTACTTATCCGAATGAAGCAGACTTGAAATTCGTTGATTTGTCCTTATCGGGCGGTACATTGGTCCTTAACCTCGACCGCTCGCTATTGGCACGCGTTGATTGTGTTGGTAATCCACTCTATGGTTATGACCTATACTCGCTCGCACCCTTTTACGCCGGTAGCGCACTATGGGACCTAAACCAAGGGACCACACGCACTTTTCACTCTTATTTTATTTATTTTATTTTTATTGTTTTTTTGCACTTGTATCCGGAAAATTATCAGTCGTTTTTACTTTTAGATTCGTTGTTTTGGACTTGATTGTATTACTGTTGTGGTACGGACGAGTTAGAAGAGCGTTGGCACAACCTCTTACCTTGAGGTGCCGAACGAGACCCCATCATTTTGACATAAGACTTAAAATATTAAAATTAGTTCTTTTTACCAGGGTTGTGAACCGGTCCAAGAACCGCTTGTTTGTTACGGACCGGTCCGTACCCAAAATAAACAAGTTATAATTCTGGACCGGTCCATGGACCGTCCCGTTTTTAAAATTACTTGGACCGGTACAAATTTTGGACCGAACCGTTTTCAAGTGTTTTGGAGCGGTACTGGACCGGTTTAAACACTTTGAACCGGTCCAAACATTTGTATTATTAGATTATTTCCACTCCTATTTCATATTATTGACATTATTATTATTACTGTGATTTGAACCAATCGGGTTTTAAATTGGAAAAAGTGAGATTGGAACTAACAGATGTCAGTTTTTTTATATATTATATGGGTCATTCCATCAAATAAAGTTTTTTTTTGTTGGCCCTCGCGGATTTTTGAAGTGAAACTTTAAACGCGCGCAAAGGGATAACTGCTCTAAACCCAATTTTCATATAATAATATACATATAATAATTTGAGATAATTCAAATTAAAGTGGTGCAATTTATTATCTACTATAATTTATCGACAAATTTAAAATTTTATTCAAAAAATCCAAATATTACAGATTTTATTCGATTTTAAATTTTTATTATTTATTTTATTAAAATAAAAAAATATTTAAAATGGCATAAAAACTGTAATATTTGGATTATTTAAATAAAATTTTAAATTTGTCGATAAATTATAGTAGATAATAAATTGCACCACTTTAATTTGAATTATCTCAAATAGGGGGGCCTGGAGGCAGGGTAGGCGACAGGAAAAACTAACTTTTTTTCGCAAACTTCAATTTAAATTCTGTTTGCGCCGAACTTGTTTATTTAATGTCAATATAAACTATTATAAATTTGGTGTGGGTCCCATGTCTAATAACTGTGATATTGGTATACTTAAAATCCACCAGCCGCCACTGAATGACAGGAGCCCAAATAAAAACTGTCAAAATGACAGGTGCCGAAATGAGCTGTCAAAATGACAGTTGCTGAAAAAACGTTATCCGAGCAAAGCCGCAAGTATACAGCTATTGAATAAATCACCTTTAGCTAGTGAATCACCATTTATAAGATTTGGAGCAATCCTAATCCACATTTGCTCCATGAGACCCACAAAAAAGTTGATTAAACAATTTTTTTGTTTTTCTCTTAATTTACCTATTTTAAAAAACTGACCAACAGATTTATGAGAAAATTACAGTATCTTATTAAGAATTAAAAGACCTTTAAAAGGATATAATAATAATAATAATAAATGGTTTAGTTATTGTCAAATACAAAAAAAGAAAAAGAATATATAAATTCAGCTATATAATTACAAAAAAATATCACTTAAACCCCCGTGCAATTTAAGATTTTGGGGGCGGGTGGGGTAGAGCGCGTAGGGGTGCGGGTGGGGTCGTACAATAAAATGTCTCCCTTTACAAATAAAAATTGACGTGCCACATTCACCCTTTAAAACGTTTGGGAGGATACGTTTTCGTTCGTTCGGACCGGTCCATGGACCGTGGACCGGACCGTTTTTGGCGGTCCACACTGTCAATGTTCCAAAACGGACCGGTTCAGTCGAACCTAGCTATTTTTGCTGGACCGGTCCAACACAAACGGTCCACAAACGGTCCGGTTACATGGACCTTTTTTGGAACTGAACCGCTGGCAAACCGGTCCATGGACCGAAATTTTGTTACGGTTCACAACCCTGGTTTTTACACAGCCAGTGGGACACTACGCCTTCGTAAAATAAAATATAATATCAACCATAAATCAATATATCAATCATAAAAAAGTAGTGGCGCGACGCATATAAATTTATATAATAGTTATTTATGTCATTAGGTTAAGAAGTAAGGCTTTTTTTTGCTAAGCTCAAGGTTTAAGGCCGACGCGTAGGGGAGGCCTACAATTAAGCGAAGCACAAAAAGGCACTTCTTGGCCGAATGGCTTACAACATTTTATCTTCAAAGCACTTTATATACGTCAATTTAATTCAACATCAAAGCGGCCTAACCTCACTTTTTTAGAATCTCATTTATTTATTAGCTAAAGATTACATTAAGTGTACAATAATTATTATTGCTTTTAGAAGCAGTAATAGTTTCACAAAAGCAACATGATTTAAGTAGAAAAAGAATCGTGCGTTTTCTTGGTTGCCTAACCTCACTTTTTGTTTTATTATTCATATTTAATTTTACAATAATTTAATGAAAAATATTAAACATTAACGGTAAAACAAACAAATTAGTGCTTATTATAAATAAATTAAACCAGTTTAGTACGTTAATTTCTTAGAAAAGGATTAATTTGTCAAAACAATACCCCTAGCGAGAAAAAATCGAACTAATTACTTCCCTCATAAAAAATTTTATCGGCCTAGGCCATAACAATGTATTTCTTTATCGAATGTTGACAACAATAAAGTTTAAATTATAGACCGCGTGGAGATAAACTTTTTTATTAATTTTTTAAGATCTATTTATTTTTTTTATTCGTTTTACATCAAAATAAATTACATTTAAATTTAAATGTTTAGCATTTAAAATTCTTGAAATGGAAAAGGATTTTAGGAAATAATAATCAAACTTGTTCACATGTAAAATATTTTATTTATAAATTTTAAAACCAATTTCGGATAAAATAATGTACGTTTAAATTAAATAAATTTTTTACTATTTAAAATATTTATTTATTTATCTAAGGAACTTTTGAAGTATGACAGTATTGCATTTATATATAATTAGTTATTATTAATTACTGATAGTATGTACTAATTAAAAATATAAGACTTATTTTAAAATTTGTCTGTCATACGGCAAAAGTTAATATTACCCTAGTGTTCGCGAATAATATCAATTTACATTTAAATCTTCTGTAAAATAATTTATAATAATTTGTCACTGCAATCGTTTTTTAATTAATTAACAATAAATTTAACTAAAACAAAAATATCATCAAAATAATAAAATTATATTGGGTTTAGTATTTGGATGTATAAATTGTAAAATTTCATAAATAACATTGAAACAATTACCTATTGATTATATACAAAGTGTACATTAAAAATAACTATACTTACGACATGAAATATCAAGAGCACTTAAGTTTCGCTTCTTAAATTTTAATTTTTTTACATTTATCTGTCTTCATTCATTACATAATAACTTACAAATTAACACTTAGGATTTTGGTACAAATGGTAATCATTTTGTTCATGGGGTAATCACATATATACATATACAAAGGTACATATATTATTATATTATATCCTGCTTCAACTTAAGTAAGCTATTTGTGCAGGTAAAGTGGAATACAACACACTCCTACAATATATGCTATATCTAAAAAATAAAGTTGAACTTTCGTGATGTTAATGCAGTATCACAAACCAGCAGTGTCACACAATTAAATGCGCCATCCTTTAGTCCACCCTACCTGCGCTCTTTTACATTATGGCTCATAAGATTAAGTCTTATAAAACACAACACAGCAATGAAGACAGTTTTTGTTTTTGTATTTACACTAAATTATCAAAAATTCCTATTTAACATGCAGTTCTTTCGGGTTTGGGCGTGATCAGCTTGCGCCCGGCCGAACTGTCAGAGTCGCTCGATTCGCCATCGCTCACAGCCACCACGTTATAGTTACATGTGACTTTTGGTTTCTTTATCGACACCCTGCTGTATCCTCTTTGTGTAGCCTGTACACTGTTTCTCTGAAACAACATTAAAATTACAATTTGGCTAACATTTTCAAAAATATAGGTGAGGCATTCCATGTCAACTCGGCCACCCCCTCCTGTGCAAAATTGACTAAAGTTTTTCGAAACGTGCAACTGATAAATTTTTAGCTTATCGTCTTAACTTTCAAATGCCGAGTGGTATTTTGTAAAATTTCAAAATGGCGGTGTCAATATAGTGACTGCAAGCAATATACATCACTTTAAAAAAACCGTATTAGGTAGTTTACATTAACTAACAGCGTTATAAAATTAAAAATTGAATTTTATTATATGCACTAATCTATTATCAGTGATTCTATGTTTTTTTACCGCTGATTACACAATGGTTCGCCCCTAACCCCAAAAAATAACTTAAAAAGCAGTTTTGTGAAATTTACAGCCCCTAAATGCATTTTTGATAAATATTTTTGCATTTATTTTTTGTATTTCTCATTGCCTAATATAAATATGGCCTTACCTCAGAGTCGACATAAAACTGTATGTTCCTAACCTAAAATAACTCTCAAAAAATGTATTTTTACCTTCTTTATAGCTGTTTAAAGCATTTTAAAGATTGGCATGAGGTTAAATTTTTATACTTTTTATCGCCAAGTACGCAACTATAAATTGCAGACTAAGCAGTTTACCCCTAACCTTAAAAATATTTTCTAAAAATTAATTTTCTGCAGATACACATGCTGAAGAAAATTGAAATATGGGATGTATAGATTTATTTCCACACTTTTTATCGCTAAATACAATTATAATCTTTCTTTGACGGCAATTCTTCGTTAACCTATAAAACTTTGCATAAATCGTATGCATAAATATTTTTTATAGTATAGTAGTTATTTTTTATAGTATAGTATACTATACTATAGTTATTACATAAGAATATGCTAAAATTGTAATAATCTATAGATTATTACAATTTTAGCATATTCTTATGTAATAACTACATCTACCGATAATTAAATTCGTACCAAAAATATTATTCTTTTGTGGTATTACCAAATAAAAATGTACTTTTAAAAAAGTATTCGAATGCTCAAAATGGCTCCGAATTTAATTATCGTTAGAATCTTATATAGATAATTACAAATTCAGCATATTGTTATGTAATAACTACTATATAGTAAATATTTTTAACATATCATTTAAACCTCATTTTTATTGCATAGGTAGGATGCAAAGTTTTTTTAGGTTAACAAAGAACTGCCATCAAAGATCATAAACTTTTTTAGCGATAAAAGTGTGGAAATAAATCTATAGATCCCATATTTCAATTTTCAATATTTTTAAGGTTAGGGGTAAACTGCTTTGTGTGCAGTAAATAGTTGGATTATTTACGTACTTGGCGATAAAAAGTATAAAAATGTAACCTTATGCCAATCTTTAAAATGCTTTAAACAGCTGTAAAGAAGGTAAAAATACATTTTTTGAGAGTTCTTTTAGGTTAGGAACGTACAGTTTTATGTCGACTCTGAGCCTCAGAGTCTGAGGTAAGGCCATATTTATATTAGGCAATGAGAAATACAAAAAACAAATGCTAAACCATCTATCAAAAATGCATTAAGCGGGAGTAAATTACGAGAAACTGTTTTTTAAGTTTTTTTTGAGGTTGGGGGCGAACCATTGTGTAATCAGCGGTAAAAAATACATAGAATCACTGATAATTATCTATCTATCTATTATAATAGATCAGTGCATTAAATAAATTTCAATTTTTAATTTTTTAAAGTTGTTAGTTAATGTAAACTACGTATTACGGATTTTTTAAAGTGATGTCTATTGCTTGCAGTCGCTATATTGACACCGCCATTTTGAAATTTTACAAAATACCACTCGGCATTTAAAAGTTAAGACGATAAGCTAAAAATTCATCACTTGCACGTTTCGAAAAACTTTAGTCAATTTTGCACAGGAGGGGGTGGCCGAGTTGACATGGAATGCCTCAGGTACACTTAAAAATTACTTTTAATTTGAGATTTTGGGCCATTATTTGAAAAACTTGGGATTTTGACCGGTCAAAATCTTTTGAGGTCAATTGACTAGTCAATTGACCGGTCAATTGACTAAGCACCGGTCAAATTCCTTAGTTTTTTCTAAAGAAATGATGGCATGAGTAAAATTACTTAATTTTAAATAGAAACGTATATTTATTGAAAAACAGCTAACAAAAAATAAAGAAACCATTCTTAGGTACAAAAAACATTCATAATATCATTGTTTTTAAGAACATTCACGTCTAGCTCGCAGCAGAGCAGCAACAGCAGCCCAGCAGATAAAACCTGAAGATGGTACATGAGATTCTTTTAAGAACCAAAAACCGACAACACGGTTCTAGCATGTGTAGATAACGGCACGTCATCCTCTGCAGTGCACCATGGTCCACTACCGAACATTTTTTTAATACTAGGTAGCGCCGCCGCTGCGCGCGGTTGAATTAAAAGTTTTTGACCGATTTTGACATGGTCAAAATGTCTCCTGTCAAAATAGGTAAAAATCTCGGTCAATTGACCAGGCACAACCCTAGCAATCACTATAATAATAATTTCGAAATACATTTAAATGTTGAATTTTTTAAATTTAAATAAAGGTATACTTCCTGGCTTGGTTAATAATTTTTATTTGCGACTAGTTTCGGTATATAAAATACCATCTTTAGGCAAAAATGTTAAGTTTTAAAGCATATGAGTTTTTAACAAATTTCTCAGGTATATGGACTACAAAAACCTAATGAAATTTAAATGTATTAAATTTAATGCTTTCTTAAATACATTTAAGTAAATATTCTAAAATAAATTTAACGCTTTCTGATATCAGACCAATTTGTAAAAGGTGTATGCGCAAATGCAATGGAAAATGTGTGGGCTTATGTGAGGCATTTATTAAAAAAAAACTTGCTATAGCTGCATGGTCTCCCAAAAGTCAACAATATCCTTTGAAGGACTGAGCCAGCCATCTAATCAGAATAACAAAAACAAGAACATTCACGTCTAGCTCGCAGCAACAGCAGCCCAGCAGATTAAACCTGAAGATGGTACATGAGATTCTTTTAATAACCAAAAACCGACAACACGGTTCTAGCATGTATAGATAACGGCACGTCATCCTCTTCACTGAACCCACCCTCGCCATTGTCTTTACTCTCTTAAAATTAATTAGTCAAAAATGACCCAGAATACTATTTAAAAAGCATTATTATGATTGCACCATGGTCCACTACCGAACATTTTTTTAATACTTTTGATATTTTCCGCTAGGTAGCGCCGCCGCTTGAATTAAAAGTTTTTGACCGATTTTGACATGGTCAAAATGTCTCCTGTCAAAATAGGTAAAAATCTCGTTCAATTGACCAGGCACAACCCTAGCAATCACTATAATAATAATTTCGAAATACATTTAAATGTTGAATTTTTTTAATTTAAATAAATGTATACTTCCTGGCTTGGTTAATAATTTTTATTTGCGACTAGTTTCGGTATATAAAATACCATCTTTAGGCAAAAATGTCAAGTTTTAAAGCATATGAGTTTTTAACAAATTTCTCAGGTATATGGACTACAAAAACCTAACGAAATTTAAATGTATTAAATTTAATGCTTTCTTAAATACATTTAAGTAAATATTCTGAAATAAATTTAACGCTTTCTGATATCAGACCAATTTGTAAAAGGTGTATGCGCAAATGCAATGGAAAATGTGTGGGCTTATGTGAGGCAATTATTAAAAAAAAAACTTGCTATAGCTGCATGGTCTCCCAAAAGTCAACAATATCCTTTGAAGGACTGAGCCAGCCATCTAATCAGAATAACAAAACATCACCTTAGTAAAAAATAGTTTGGTTTTGAGATATTGGTACCTACTTTAACCTTTTAAAAACATACATATTTTTGCCCGATTTTTTAAATTTATTTTTAGTGGTAATTCCACAGACCTACAAACAAAACTTTGTTTGTAGGTCTGTGGGTAATTCCAACAGTTTTCATTAACTTTTTAACGGTTAATAGAAACTTCATAGTTCACAATTTTTGCGTTATGTTATCATATACAGGGTGTCCCATAATTCGCGCCACAGAAAAAGGAGCAATCGAGATGACAAATTTAAAAATTCTAGGTCATAGTGTAATTGAATGAGAACAAAAAAGCTGCAGCCAATACCGAGAGCTCTCACCTAGGTTAAACGTAGGAGCTTTAAAAGTTTCTAGAAGAAGATAGAACATTGTTTTCTTGTTGTCCTAAAACTTTTAAAAATCTTTTGTCCGACTTTGTTTACAAACCTTTAAAAAAGGAATTTCATACTTCAGGACGCCAATGTTTTAAAGTAAAAATAACTGTACCCCAGAGCCAAAATCTCTAGCAACCACTATAGAATTCCAATCTAGCGGGATTATTTTCCGGCTGCAGGTGCTGCCCTCGCTGAACTGCATTCACATGTAAATAAGAAATTCGCGGGCTTCCCTTATGCTCTTCCTAATATTTGCATTAAAGGCATTGAAAATAGCTTCTTTATTTTCCGCTGTTCTATTTAACTTATTAATAAGTTAAGAAGCACCTTAAATTTCGTTATAACGCAAAAACAACTTTACAGTCCAGGGGACTATACTCCCCATAATTAATCATCATTTCGGCATAATCAGAGGAAGAAAACATAACTTAAAATGATAAATAATGCGGCAGACAAAAATAATTTTTTTTGTCTAATAGAGCGACCTATCTCGGCAGTTATTCGCTCGGATACGCTAGATCTCGGCAATTGTTATAGGTTGATCATTTCTCGAGCGAGACAAATTTGAATTTGACAACATTATGCTCTTTCAAGTGTTTTCTTAAATAAAATAATGTTATGCAGGTCAGAATATTAAATTAAAATATGTTTTTAACAAAATTAAATTATTTTACGTTTTACGTTTATTATAATAACTAAAGTGTAAAATAAAAAACTCAACTTTTAAATTGGATAAAATTATTTTGGGTAGACATTGTCTACCCGCCACTGTAAATTAGTAGGTATGTATGTGTATGTATTAATTAAATAAACTTTACATATTATGTAAGTGCGCTTACCTGTAAAACAATAAATATAACAATAAATAGTATAATGATGCAAAGGCATGCAATTATAGCGAGTCCGGTGATAAAATTAAATGGATTGACTATTTGTAGAGTGGATACTGGTTGGGCGGATAACAGCAGAGCTTCCACGTCTATTTTTCGTTTATCCTCCTGCATTTTACACCCTAAAACAAATCAAAAAATGCCATTAAATCTACAATTCCACTAAAATACAATGTTTACGACTGATAAATATTTTTACAATGTTACTTTTGGAGAAAATAACTATAACTTTCTGTATATTAAAAATGAGGCTTTTTAGATCAAAAGAGATCCAATTTTATACCTAAAAATGTTTGTAGCATATTGTAATTACTTTTTTAAAAATTGATTATAAAATAAATCAAGACTATTAACTTTAAATATAAATATGTTGGTGTTTTTATATTGGAATTCATAACTTCTGTAGTTTTATACATCGGATTCCTTGACTTTTTTCTCTAATTATGTAAGATTGAAATATGGCGGCCATAGAAATAATACCATTATTAATAAATTAATAAATAATTATTTCTATGGGAAAAACAAAAAAAGATGGTGGTGGTATCTCGAACCTAGTAGCCGAAATTCAAGGGTTAAGTTATAACGATTTTTGGTTTTGGCAGGAAGATATGTCCGATCCTGTTGCCATTTATAAAATTAAAGAATAATTAAAATCCCACATTAAGGCCAGGTTTTTCAATATTGCATTTAATTAGTACTTTCGTAAGTAATAGTTATATTTAACTAGAGGTAAATTGTTAGTTAAATTGTAATCTGTTTTTTATGCATTTTGAAGTATTAGTTACAGAATCACAACTTTTGACATATTTTTGTCATGTTGGTATTAAATATTACCGGAAATCGCTAAATATAAGTTATATAATTATTATATATTATATTATATAACCTTATTTAGAGCTGTAAAACCGAATTAAGAAAAGTAGACTGCTTTGTTTTGTTATTACTGGCGTCGGGAAAATACTCAAATTTACAGGATTTGTTTAAAAAATCATAAATTGTTTAAATTAAATTTGGGAAGCTTTGGTTTAAGTGTATACATTTATATACTTCAACCGAAACTTCCCAAATGTAATTTAAACAAAAAATGATTGTTAAACAAATCGTATAAATTTGATTCTATTTTCCCTCAAGTTTCTATTTATCCCGTTTTACGGTACTGTACATTTGCAAAAGTATACTAAATTTTAAGCAGGGAATTAAAGTGAAGAAATCATCAAAAAATAAGTACAAATTATCTGCAAGAAGGAGAAAGGTACTGGCCAAGTCGGCCTTCAACCAACCAATCACATTAAAGCTTATGCTGCACCGCACACCGCATTAGATGATGATGATGAAACCACAGGGTTGTTACTAAGGGCATTTCCCTCTAGAGTCTAAAGTGCTCGGGAGCACTTTAAATGCTTGCAAGCCCTCAAATCTGATAGTGCTTGCAAGCCCTTTAGTGCTTGCAAGCCCTTTAAAGTGCTTGCAAGCCTTTTATAGCACTTATAAGTGCTTGCAAGCACTCAAATGGCTTGAAATGCGAAATTCAATTACCAATTACCAAGCACTGTATTTTAAAAGTGCTTGCAAGCACTGTGCTCGAAGCACTATTGTGCTTGAAGCACTTTTTCAAGCACTTTCCAGTCAATTACTGCCCAGCTCTGCAAGGGGACATAGTTTTATTATTTGTAACTTCTTCAAATGTTATATCAGGTATTATTATATATTTTTGCAGTTCTTTAGCAACTTCAGCACATAATTTATAATAGATATTAGCTATTTCTTTATTTTTGAATTTTAGTATGTCTACATTATTATTTGTTTTTCTAGGTTTTATATTAATTATTTGATGTATAGTTTTCATTTTTTTTTCACATTTCTTCCTGTTGACAAAAGTTTTTGTTCAATAAATTCATATTTAAAATTAGCACAATATTAAATGTATTTTTTGGTTAACCACAACTTTAATATAAGAAGTCGTAGTTACGGAAACTTAATGTGCACTTTAATAAATAACTACCAATTGTAAAACACAAAACAAATTAACTACCAATTAAGTAGCAATTTAATTGTGATTAACTGGTGATGATAAAACCGGGCCTTAGGGTTTAATTAAAAAAAAAAAAGAAAAAACACAGTTTGGTCACCAAACATCTTCGCTATAGTGTGGAAAATATGAAAATTTTGGAAATTTCTAAATGTTTTAACTGAGTTATAGATTTTTACTCGTCGTTTATTTATCGCTCAATTTTTGCTCAGTTTGGCATCTTACCTCCGCAATTTCTGCAATTATAATGGCACTTCTGACATCCGTACTCGGTCTTGTAGTATCCCTCGGGACAGTCCGGCCTGCACTCGCCGCTGAGCAGCTGCCAGCCGTTGGGACAGCTGACGCAGTGATCTTGACTGGGACCCCCGCATGTCCTGCAGCTCATGTAGCACCTCAGACAGACGCCTTTGTCGCTGTAGTAACCGTTCGAGCACGTCGTGTGGCATTCGCCGTTTTGTAACTGAAACAAGATTTTAGTTATACATAATTTTAAATAAACTGCGCACCACTCAATGTGTCGCGACCAAAAAGTTCGTCCTTTTTCAAAACGACATAACTTTTTTGTTTCTTGAACGATTTTATTTTGGTCTGTGATTTCTGCTAGCCCCATCCTCTGGCTATTCATGCTATAGATATGAAGCTCACGGTTCTTCAAGTAAATTTCGTACAGGGTGATATGTAAAACGGTCAAAAATTTCAATAACTTCATCCAAGCCCCGTTTGTAAAAAAATTATTTTTTTTACTTTGAAATAATAAAGTATTATGTCTTATTACTTAAATGATTTTCTAATTTTTCAAATTGGAATCGTAGCAAAGGAAATATGATTTTTTTTAAAAGAGTACATTTAAGGCTTTTTGGTAGGCAATACACTCAGTCTTTTTAAGAACAAGGAGATAAGATGGTGAAAGATTGTTCCTTGAATAATTCTGAACAAGCGACAAACAACAAACTTCCATTATTTTCAGAGGGGCCTAAGCAAAGACAACTTTTTTAAAATGACATTTTGGTGAAAATTTGCGAAAACCAATCCTGAACCGATATTTACGTTCGTGACATGTTTTCTTTATAATTTTGACCTTCTGATTGTGATTCAGTTGTCAAATTTAAGTTTCAGATAAAACCAAAATCACTAAGAATCAAAATTCAAAAACAATTCCCGGCTAGCCTGTTAAATTGCCTACAAAAAAGCCTTAAATGTACTCTTTTACAAAAAAAAAATCATATTTTCGTTGCTACGATTCCAACTTGAAAAATTAGAAAATCATTTTAAGGTAAGACATAATACTTCATTATTTCAAAGTAAAAATGAGAAAAAAATTATTTTTTTACAAGCGGGGCTTGGATGAAGTTATTGAAAATTTTCACCGTTTAACATATCACCCTGTAGAAAATTTACTTGAATAACCTTGAGCTTCATATCTATATCATGAATTGCCAGAGGATGGTGCTAGGTGACATCACAAACCAAAATAAAATCGTTCAAGAAACAAAAAAGTTATGTCGTTTTGAAAAAGAACGAACTTTTTGGTCGCGACACATTGAGTGGTGCGCAGTTTACATTGAAAAAGAAAGTTGTAACTATTTTTTGTTTTATATCGTTTTAGGTTACCGCTACTCCAAATAATATCATATAACCCAAGCAACAATTTAAGTATTTATTACGTATTGAACAAACTTTAAAGTGTTTTGCGACAGTCGCCGGTCTCTTTATATTACTCTTTCATTACTAAGTTACGACTAAAGTGGGGAACAATTATTGAGTTCCAAAAAGGTAACAAATATATCACTAGCTATAAACCCTGCTACTATTTGGAACGTAGCTGCTACGGTACTAGAACGTTTCAATACCGTTGCTAGAGCGTTATAATTACTTTTATTTATTTGTTTTAACTTCTTATTAACTGTCTTTGTCATACTTATATTAGATTATACTATCCCTCCTTTTTTAAATGGAACCACTACGGACTTGGCTTTTCAATGTCGTAGTTTATTAAATATGTACTGGTAGTTTATAACCAGAATAACAATAAAATGTTTAATTAGGCAGGTAAATTTATAAACCCTTTAAATTTTACTGTTAAACTATTATTTATTTAATAATGTTTATAAATTAAAAAATCTTAATATTTATTATTAATTTTTTATTTAATTATTAATACCGTCTATTACCAACAAAATTACTATTTATTAAAAAGTAAACAACCATTTACAAACAATTAAAATAATTTATTATTTACATTACCACGTGGTACTGTACAGTAAAAATTGGCCGATAACAAGCTTTTTACTTTACGGTAGTTTTGGTTAGTACCATACACGTTCCAAATACTAAAATAATAACTTCAAGTTATTAACTTTGTAGTTTTTAACTCAGGTTCCAGTTTCGAGATTTTAACTTGCAAAGGGACTACAAAGTAAAAATAATTATAATCTAATCTTTAGGTAGCAACCGAAAGTAACTGCTACAAATTAAATTTACTTTTTTAAAGTTGCAAAGTCTTCTTGGGGGCAACCAAGTTTTACTTAAATGTTTATTACTTTATAGTAACCATTTAAGGAAAGAATGAAGTTTGTGTTACAAAATATTTATATTTAAAAGTTAAAATTACTTTTACGTAAAAATTAAAGTAGCTGTTTAGTATACTTAACTAATTTAAAGCAGGGACCCGGACCGAAATGAAATATCGGTTCCGGTACGGTTTTGGTTCACCCTATTTTCGTTTTAATGGTTCCGATTCCGGTTTCGGTTTCGTGGAGTTATAACGGTTCGGTTCTTTTCGGTTTTAAGCGGTTCCAGTGAGGTTATTTGTTTTAAGTAATTTTAATCTTTTACCTCACATATATATATAGTTATATAATGTTATTAGAATGAAAGCAAATAAAGGTTTCGGTTCCGGTCCAACAGATTTTATCAAAAGCGAAAACGGTTCCAGTTCGGGTTTCGGTTCGGAAAAAAAACCGGTTCCGTTCCGGTTTTCGGTTTTTTTCGGTTTCGGTCCGGGTCCCTGATTTAAAGTTATCACCACTTTGGTAATGGTTTTTGAAACCAAAAATGCTGCTTGGGAAGTGCGTCCCCCGGTAGAAAATAACATTAACACAACAAATTTCTAACGTTAGAAATTCTAACTTAGAGCTATATAAAAAATCTTTATTGTCAAATCTAACGTAAGAAAAATGTAGTTGAAGTTAGAGTTTTTTTTAAACTTTAATGCTTTATATCTCGAAAACTAACTAAATTATACTTTTGGGAAACTCCTATTTTGTGAAATATTTAAAACATTATTACTGGGAATAACTCAATGGTCATATCGTTGAGTCAACGTTAAATCAACGATGATATTTTTCTAAATATTTATAATTTTCATACGAAGTATTTCACATTTAACCCCTTTTTTTAAGTTGAACATTTTAGAATTTATCATGGACACCAAAAAGTCCCATGCAATTTAAGGCTTTAAGTTGCGGTGTTGTCAGATTTAAACGTTAACTGCTTGTTGATTGTTCAAAAGCACACATTTGACCGATAAAAATAAACCTACAATTTCGTTATACGTATTATTCCAAGTCTGATTTGTTTTTCGCCGTGGTCCAATTGAGACTGAATCACATATAAAGAAGTCTTTTTTGAAATACATATGATTGTTGATTTAACAACAGTGCCTATCGACTCCTTATTGTCTGTTTTGTATTTGCAGCAAGATTAGAGAGATAACGTTAAAATCGGGTTGGACTTTTTGATGTCCATTAGACTAGCTATGATTCATAGTAAGTACATATTTTGAAAATTTGAATATTTTTTCAGGCATTTATGTATGGATATTTTTAAACTAATGATATTAACTAATATTTCTCTATTTTTTTCATACAAATTTTGTGTTGAAATTCAATAATAAAAATTTAAAATTCAAAATAAATCTCATGCACTTTCAAAATGGTTACGCTAGTTTGCGTTTATTGCCTAAAATGGTAATTTTCCCCATAGATAATAAATTAGATTTGTGTCTAACAAAATATCGCGGCATAAATTTGCAATTATGAACCCATATAAAATCAAATTATCAGAGAATAAATTACAGCCCGCTGATACACACCACCAACCAACCAGAGTTTGTCAAATAAATATTATTTTAAAATGTGCATATTTTACATTTTCATATTTTACGAACATTTGAAGATTTTGAATATATAACATGCGCCAATACTTGACGGGAGATTCATTTTTCCGGAAATTTTAAAACCCTAGTGGAAAGGTGTCATTTAAATAATTCCGGACAGGAAGAGGATATTGGGGTAGTTCCAATGTAGGTTCCAATGAATTTGAAAAATTTGTACTATCAATTTAAATTAAAAAAAAATGGGGTTGTTATTTAAGAAAAATGTGCATAAAGTGGCGGGGAAATAGTGGGGAAATATGCTATTGTGCGAATTATGTTCGAACAGATCGCATATTTTAACACAACCCAGGCATGTGCGCGCGCCGTTTCAGTTTCATCTTTTGTAACGCCAAGTTTACCGTGACCGCAAAAAATTCCAATTAAATGAGATTCTTACGTGCAGTCCAAGTCGGCAAATGGTGCAGTTAGTTTTTGCAACACATTTCAGGCACGTGTGCACGCAGGGTTCGCACAGACGGCCGTCTTTTTCCTTGAAGAACCCTTCGTCGCACTGTGCGACGCACCGGGTGCCTTGCAAGATGAACGGACTTGCGCAGGTGAGGCAGGCTTTTTCGGTGGGACCGTCACAGGTGTCGCAAGTCGAATGGCAATGTTTGCATTGGCCGTTCTCGAAATATTCGTCTAAAAATTAAAATAATAAGAATTAATAGAAACATATTGGTAAATGTTGTGTTAAAAAAATCGCAAAAGATTTAATTTTTAATTATTTTTTTTTTAATGTACAGGGTCCGGCATCAGAATTGAACGGTTTTGAAAAGGCTGCTATGGAAATACTATTGATTTGGTATATGTCAAATAGTGACAGACTTATACCTTATTGCCGAAGGTTTCGTATGCAATTTCAAACTGGTAGGTTAATCAACGGATCTTTGCTGTAAATTCGTTTACCCTGACCCAGTCCTTCGTACAAACGCAGAGACGCTTTCGTCGTGAATATAATTTTCAAGTGCGAGCTGAAGTCCCATAAAAAAATGCCATTTTGAGATGGATAAGAGATTTTAACGAAAGAGGCAGTGTAAAATCAAAATTTGCCGCTGGAACTCGTACAGTTTGTACACAAGAAAATATTGGAAGAGTCAGAGAAGCGTTTGAGCGGCACTCGATTGCTCTACACATTTCAGACCGAAGTTTGCGACGAATGTTACATCTGGATTTAAAACTCCATCCAAAAAACCGACAGTCCAGAGGCTAAATCCCATTGATAAAGTCAATCGACTCAATTTCTGCACACAATTTTTAATTGCCAATAAGGAACAAGTCTGTCACTATTTGACATATATTAAATCAATATGTAGTATTTCCATAGCAGCCACGAAACTTTCGGCAATAAGGCAAATCAAGAGTTCAATTCTGTTGCCGGACCCTGTACTTTTTTTAATTTTTAATATTTTTATAGTTTAATTATCTAGATAACGTTTAAATTAAAAAAATATTCATACAATTCATTAAACAGTCTTTATTTTTATCTTTAAGCGGGCTATAAATTAAACTTTATTGTCGTCATCAGTCGACCCTAATCCTAATGTAAAAAATAATGCATTCGTCATTTTATTTTTTAATGGAAATGTAATTCTAATCCTTTTCCCATTAAAAAAAAATTAATGTAAAACATTTTCAATTCTTATTAAACAATTCAATGATCATTAGTAATGTATTGCTACACTACTCAAGTAGTGTAGCAATACATTACTCATTAAAAAGTTTGCAATAAGTAATGGAACATCTTACATTACCTACTCATTAAATTTCAGTTTGTAATTTGTCATTAATTTTTTTTTTCGTCAGCATAAAAAAAATCAAATTTTGGGAAAACTTTTTTGTCGATAAGAAAAAAATTCAAATTTTGACAATTATTCAAAATTCAAAAAAAATCAAATTTTCCAAAATAATTAAAATTTTCAAAAAAAAATCAAATTTTTAAAATGATTATTTCCTTCATTATAATATGAACCAATCGAAAGCCTTGAATTTTCGAATCAATTTCGTTTAAATAAGCGATTAAATCACTAGAACTATTTAACAGCGATTAAATTTTAGCCTCCATATTGGATTTTTGTTTACGATTTTATGGTGTTATTTACAAGTTTTAACAAACATTTTTTAAAAAACAATAAAAAATAAGTCATCTAGTTTACCAAATATCAATTATTACTTATTACATACCTTAAATTAATGGAATTTTCTTTAAAAAAATATTTATAAATTTTGACACATACGTCAGATTGTGCTTGGTATAGCTGTATCCGCCCTTTTGGCATTTAAAACGCGATATCTTTAGAAGGAATATTTCCCTAAGTTCCATAACTACAACCTATTTTCGTTACAAATATTTCGTATATTATTATGATATCCAATGCAAATCGTGCGAAAAATAAAAAAACAAATGAAATCTAAAACAAAAAATAATTTCCGTACCTGTTAAAAATGAGCAATGAAATACTCATTTTTTCCCCATTAAAAAAAAGGGTAATGAAATAAATCCACATTACTCATTAAAATAAAAAATGTTATGTAAATTCTTACATTACTCATTAAAAATTGAAAATGAGAAATGTACAAGTAATTCTCCATTAAACGAAAAAAAAATGAGTAATGTAAGTTAATTTCATTACTCATTATGATAAAAATGAGCAATGAAGTATCATTGCATTAAAAAAGAAAATGCATTTTTTGCAACTCTGCACTATGCACATAATAGTTATTTATGTATTAAGGGCATAAGAAGGTTTTTATGGTCCGAGGCGCTATTTCGAGCCCGAGCGCGTCAGCGCGAGGGCTAGAAAAGCGTCGTAGGACCATAAAAACCAGTTATGCCAGCAATGCATATAAAACTTTATGCACGATTAATATATTATTATTTTTAATATATTATTGTTTTTAAAGACGTTTACGTCAAAGAATTTTTGTTATAATTGTCATATTATAATGTCAACTGACATCAGTCAGTTTTAAAGTTTAAAGATGAATGAAATTAAGGAAGCAGCTGAAAAGGCCAAAAATTGCGGCCTGCTGCCGGAAAAATCAAAATCTTTATAAGAAAAAACTTACTTCAAATATATCAAATGGTGTAACATTGTTGTTTTTAATTTTTGACGTTTCATTATAGCCCGCTGGGTCATAATAACGCCCGCGGGCTATAAAAAGACGTTTACGTCAAAGAATTTTTGTTATAATTGTCATATTATAATGTCATCGTGCATAAAATATAATTTATTTATTTATTTACCATTTCCACACTTTTCGTTGTTAGTAGAGACGCATCGTCCCTTGATGTTCACCTTCCAATCGTCCAGACAGGAGATGCAGGTGGTCTGGTTGCATTCGCTGCAACCCGGTGGACATTCGACGCACTCCCTCTGGTGGTTGTCGGCGTAATGATGCGCGGGACAGTCCCGAACGCATCTGCCGTCGTACCAGTAGAAACCCTGCTTGCAGGTAACGCACTGAGAGCTGTTGGAACCTTTGCAGGTCTCGCAGGAGTCGTGGCAAGGAGCGCAACTACAAAAATATTACATTAAACATTCATATATATAAAAATATATATTTAATTGATGGGCAACTATTTACACTATGACTCTGAGGTACGAGGTTCCTGGAAAATTAAGCGTCACGCGTCACTCATGTAGATTTGTCAGTGAGTGCGTGTGACGTCACAGAAAAAAAATGATTCCTTCCAAAATTATTTTTTTTCCATTCAGTTTTAACGAGTGGAAAACGATAAAGTGAAAATTTTCAAAATTTCCAAAATTTTCAATATTTTTAAAATTTCCAAAATTTAGGAAATGTCTTATTCTACAAACCATGCATAGTAAAGATTAAAAAGAAATAAATTTAAGGAAAAAACGTCATGTAATGTTTCTTATTTTTTTGTCATAGAAATTTAATTGTTTTTCTCTAAAATCACAACCTCATACTAAACTTGTACCAGCCAAAATGTTTACATTCAGTGTGACCCATTTGTTTGCGACTCACCCCTGTAAAATCTTTATTTATTGTGCCATTTTAACCGGATTAATAAAGTGTAGATCTTGATAAATTGTATTTTTGGAGCAAAAAACGCCATATTTTTACAAAATACAAGGACTACTAATATTATTATATTATGTCAGTTTTTAAAAGTAAATTTTTAAGAATTCATATTAGCGATTTTATTAAACAAAATCCAAGCACGGCAATGGATTCGCAGCCCCTCAAAACAACCCTATACTAAATTTAGTAGAAAAATGCACAATAATAACTACAAATGTTTATTCTGTCAAGTTATCCATGAAAAAGACATTGAAATAAAATTAACATTAACAATTTTTTTAATTTCAAGTTTTTTTCATGGATAACTTTGTAGTTATTATTGTGCATTTTTCTACTTAAAATTTTTCAGTAAAATTTAGTAAAAGTTCGTTTTGAGGGGTGGTAAATCCAGTGCTGTGCTTAGATTTTGTTTAAAAAAAATCGCTAATATAAATTCTTAAAAATTTACTCTTAAAAACCGGCATAGTAGGCCTTGTATTTTGTACAAATATGGCATTTTTTGCTCAAAAAATACAGTTTATCAAGATCTACCCTTAAAAACAAATCCGGTTAAAATCGTATGATAAATAAAGATTTTACAGGGGTGAGTCGCAAACACTGTATTCTTTGTGAGTACAACTGTTTTTTGTATGAATATTAAAAGGATACACTAGAGGCATTTTCTTTTTTATTGTTGTTGTTGTATTTTCTTTAATAAAATCTGAATTATTGCACACTCTCATAGATTTCGGAAACAAACTGTACATCGAAGAATTACTTTTTTACTTTTTTAGTTTTGTCCGAAACGGAAGTGTCCCAAAAATTTCTCCCTCACAAAAATGTTTTACTTTATTATTTGTTATGCAAAATCAAATTTTTTATTTCTATGATTAAGTAGAATACAAGTGTTTGTATTCTACTTGATCATGAAAATGAAAAAATAAAATTTGATTATAATTATATTTAAATATAACTCGTTTTTTGAATACTATGTCACAATAATTTAACAATGAAATTCCAGGATATTATATACAAGGTGTCTCTGAAATACCTGTATAAAGTAATACCACATATTCCTGAGACCGAAATAATGCTATACAGGGTGTTTCATAATATATGCGCAGGACTTCAGGATGTGATAGCTCATCCAAAAAGATGAAAAAAGTCGCTATTAACTTACCCTCTAAAATGCACAATTTTCGAGATACAGGGTGTTGAAATTTTAGAAAAAAATTCGTTTTATCTCCAGAACCGTTTATCGTACAAAAAACAGATTTTGTAAGCATTTTCTACTCAAAATAAGCTATGTTTTGTGCCAGAAAAAAATATTTTTTTACTCATAATTGGTGGAGATTTTGAAGGAGTAGCGGGTGTTTTTCTCCTCAACTTCTACGCCCCTAAAAAATGTACGGTTTTGAGAGGCCTATTCGAACCGCCAATGTTTTCTACACAAAAAAGGTACTCTTGGTCATAAGCTCTAAAGATGACCGTTTTCGAGAAAAATCAACTTTTATGTTTAAAAACATGGTCAATTTAAAAAAAAATATTTTTTTTTTTACTAATTAAACAAAATTTATTTTAACGTTAGAACAAGTAACAAAACCAAACCATAATTGCAAAATAAAAAATGATTTAAAAGTTGTCTTTGCTAAATTCTCCAAACCGTAAAGGTAACGCATTTCGAACATTTCAGCATTTGTGTAAAAAATCATTTTTTATTTTTTTTTTAATTTTGCAATTATCGTTTGGTTTTGTTACTTTTTCTAACGTTAAAATAAATTTTGTTTAATTAGTAATAAAAATTTTTTTTCAAAAAATTGAACATGTTTTTAAATATAAAAGTTGATTTTTCTCGAAAACGGTCAACTTTAGAGCTTATGACCAAGAGTACCTTTTTTGTGTAGAAAACATTGGCGGTTCGAATAGGCCTCTCAAACCCGTACATTTTTCAGGGGCGTAAAAGTTGAGGAGAAAAACACCCGCTACCCCTTCACAATCTCCACCAATTATGAGTAAAAAAAAATTGTTTTTGGCACAAAACATAGCTTATTTTGAGTAGAAAATGCTTACAAAAGCTGTTTTTTGTACGATAAACGGTTCCGGAGATATTCGAAAAAAACGATTTTTTTTCTAAAATTCAACACCCTGTATCTCGAAAATTGTGCATTTTAGAGGGTAAGTTAATGGCGACTTTTTTCATCTTTTTGGATAAGATATCACATCCTGAAGTCCTGCGCATATATTATGAAACACCCTGTATATCTAAATTTACTTATACACAAAAGTTGATAATAACCAAGATACAACTTATGCAAAGTTTCGCAGACAGCGCCCTCTACAACTAATATTAATTTTTTTGAGATATTTAATTTTCCTGGCCGGAAAACCCCCTGAAAATATATATTTTATATACAGGGTGTTTCATAATATATGCGCAGGACTTCAGGATGTGATAAATCATTCAAAAAGATGAAAAAAGTCGTTATTAACTTACGCTCTAAAATGCACAATTTTCGAGAACCGTTTATCGTACAAAAAACAGCTTTTGTAAGCATTTTCTACTCAAAATAAGCTATGTTTTGTGCCCTCATATTGGTGGAGATTTTGAAGGGGTAGCGGGTGTTTTTCTCCTCAACTTCTACGCCCCTGAAAAATGTACGGTTTTGAGAGGCCTATTCGAACCGCCAATGTTTTCTACACAAAAAAGGTACTCTTGGTCATAAGCTCTAAAGTTTACCGTTTTCGAGAAAAATCAACTTTTATGTTTAAAAACATGGTCAATTTAAAAAAAATAATTTTTTTTTACTAATTAAACAAAATTTATTTTAACGTTAGAACAACTAACAAAACCAAACCATAATTTCAAAATAAAAAATGATTCAAAAGTTGTCTTTGCTAAATTCTCTAAACCGTAAAGGTAACGCATTTCGAACATTTCAGCATTTGTATAAAAAAACATTTTTTATTTTTTTTTTAATTTTGCAATTGTCGTTTGGTTTTGTTACTTTTTCTAACGTTAAATAAAATAAATTTTGTTTAATTGGTAATAAAATTTTTTTTTCAGAAAATTGACCATGTTTTTATACATAAAAGTTGATTTTTCTCGAAAACGGTCAACGTTAGAGCTTATGACCAGGAGTACCTTTTTTGTGTAGAAAACATTGGCGGTTCGAATGGGCCTTCAGGGGCGTTGAAGTTGATGAGAAAAACACCCGCTACCCCTTTAAAATCTCCACCAATTATGAGTAAAAAAAATTTTTTTCTGGCACAAAACATAGCTTATTATTAGTGGAAAATGCTTACAAAATCTGTTTTTTTTACGACAAACGGTTCCAGAGATAATCGAAAAAAACGATTTTTTTTCTAAAATTTCAACACCCTGTATCTCGAAAATTGTGCATTTTAGAGGGTAAGTTAATAGCGACTTTTTTCATCTTTCTGGATGAGCTATCACATCCTGAAGTCCTGCGCATATATTATGAAACACCCTGTATATATAAATATTTTTTTGCAAGAACTTTAGTTTTTCCCAAAGTTATTTAATAAAATCGAAAAAGAACTTTTACTTTGACGCCCTCTATCTTGGTTATTATCAACTTTTATATAGAGGTAAATATATTATAGTGGCTAGATTATTAAAAAAAAATTAAGAAAATAGCTTTAAACGAAAGAATAATAATTTATTTTTCTAAGTCTAAATAAAATAATCAGGTATTGCATTTTAAAATAGCATAAATTAAAACTTGTTTTTGTTTACATTTACTCAAAAATTAAAATATTTTGATCAAAAACCAATGTAAAGTCTTAACAAAATTAATTAATTAATCGCAATAGATTTTTATTAATGTAATACATAGTGTTAGTTATGCAAAATTATTACTTGTAATCGTCTGTTTCAAAGGTGTTGGATGGGCAAGCAGCAACGCATCTATTTTGGAACAAAAGCAGATGGTGATCACAGCTTGTGCAATGGTCAGGTCTGTCCTGGCATCCAACGCAGTTTGGTTGGCAAGGAGTGCAAGATTTGTCGTTGAAATCTAAAAAAAAAATAAAAATAATGTAAAAATATTTTTACAATTTAAATATAATTTACTTTCAAAATATCCATCGGGGCACTGCTGAAGACAAATATCTAGATCGGTGACTCTAACATGACCTGGCGAACAAGCCACGCAGCTTCTTTGGTCTGGTCCTGTGCAAGTGTCGCAGGCTTCATGGCAAGGTTGGCAAACATTTTGGGAGTCGGAGTAACTTCTTGGAGGGCAGGTACTTACGCAATTTCTAAAAAGTAATCTTTGTTATATATATACAAAAAAAGTGGCGCACTTGATTTTTTTAAATTTCGTGAAAATTTTTTGTTTTCTGTTTAAAATTTGTCTATGGTTTGTTTCTTTTGCACAATTTCAATCTATAAACGTCAATTCTTGACGTAAGTGTTCAAAATCTTTATTCATTTTGGTTACTTTCAAGCTTAATGTATAGTGGTATTAATATCTCATGGCGGGTGACCTTGGGCGCGCAAACGTCACAAATCCGTCAAATCGCGCTATTACTCGCCGTCCTAAAAACATACTACCCCAGGGTTGGCAATGCTAGCATCAGCTGATATTTATTGACATATTTAAACATATTTATAGGCTAGAAATTCTATTATATTTGTTATATCATATTTGTCATATCAATTCTATTATATTTGTTATATCATATTTGTCATATCATATTTGTTATAACTAATATTATATTTGTTCTATTATTATATTTGTTATACGAAATGAATAACGGCAAAAAGAAGTCATTCAAATCCAAGGGCGGCAGATCGTCTACAATGTTCTCCAATATTTGAAAAGCGAGAACTTATTCATAATATGATATAGGTATACTTGTATTAGCAGTAAATCAACATATTTTGCCATACACAAGAAAAATATGAAATAAAAACCTTTAGGTACATTTTTACAGCAAAATTCGGATTCTACACAGATTCTATTCTTTTTTTTACTGAAATCCATTATATATTTTACAGATCATTGCTCAACATTTGAAGACCTTGCTGCAAAATGGGTGTAACTTTTACAAAAGTGACTTTTACACCCTTACAACTGTGAACTAGACTATTCTGCATTGTTTAATGCAAATATGACTCAAAAATAACTTTTATGGAGTTAGCTCCTTTTTGCAGCAGGGTCTTCAATTGCAGTCATTATCTAATGTTACAATATATTTCATAAAATAAAGAAAAAAACGCTTTACTATATTAGTTGACAGATGACAGATTTGGGAACATTCCATAGACATTTAAGTTAACTTAAAGGTCTATGGTAGTGGCGGATGTTTTTAGTTTCCATTTATTTATTAAATTGAATGGCGTCTGTCAGCGTCTCTCAAGGTCACCCGCCATGAGATATTAATACCACTATACCTACCTAATTAAAAAAATTGGAATTATTCCATTTTTTTAATATTCATTTAAGATTGAAGGCAGCAATTGATTTTTAAGTTAAGTATACTTAGGTATACCTAGTGACCAGATTCTGTCAAAAAATAAAGGGACATTTTGTATGAATTTACCTTAATTACAAAATTGACACAATGATACAATGCAAATTGTAAATTTGACTTTACTTAATTATTGTTGATTGTGTCATTTTTGTAATTAAGGTTAATTTACACAAAATGTTCCGCTATTTTTTGTCAGAATCTGGTCACTTTAGGTATACCTACACTGCAAACGAAAAAATATTCAAAGCACTTTACAGTGTATAGGCTAAGTATAGGCTTTATTTAACGTTGTGATGAATGAATGTTTGTTAATGGTATTGAGCACATAATAAATCTTTACCGTTTATATTTCCAAGGCAACTGTAGCTGAATTTCAAATTTTCTTGGAAGATCTTGCAGTGTTTGTGTATTCTAAGTATGAATATGTAATTGTTGTGGGTGATTTTAATGTAACTAATTTTGTGTTGGCCATCAACGATAGTAAGTCAAACTTGTTAAATAATTTTTCTGACTTTTGTAAATTTCATCAGTTTAATAATATTTTAAATTCCGATAATAGACTACTAGATTTAGTTTTTACAAATTTAGATTGTGATATAGTTTTGGACCCTTTTCCTATTGTACCTCCAGATGTATACCACCCTCCCTTAGATATATCGTTAAAAACTAAACTACCAACAAGTTTTGAGAACTTTGTATGGAACTTGGAACAAAAGTCCTATAATTTTAAAAAAGCAAACTTTCCCGCTCTGTATAACAAACTGGCATCTATTGATTGGGTGTTATTAAATAATATTTATGATGTTGATTCTGCTTGTGATTATTTGTATAACAAATTATATAGTGTGTTGGATGAATTTGTACCTTCTATTAGTAAATTTCAAAATAAAAGAAAATATCCTAGTTGGTATTCTAATGATATTATAAAAATGATTGGTAAAAAAAATAATTATCATAAAAAATATAAAAAACTAAATAGTCAAATTTACTACAATAAATATTCTGACTTAAGAAGGCAAACTAAGCAACTAATAACGGAAGCACATAAGAGCTATCTTCAGGATGTTCAAAATAATATTAAAACAGATTCATCACAATTTTGGCAATTTGTTCAGAATAAAAAAGGCACTTCACGTATACCAGGAATAATGCATCATGATAATATTGCTTATGATACACCTGAAAGTATAGTTAATATGTTTGCTAACTACTTTGCCAGTGTATATACTAAATCCAATACATTCAATTCATATAAATGATCACAACTTAAAAACTACTGTACAAAATGTCAATGTCAAATGTATTTCTGAGAAAAATATATCTATTGCAATTAAGAAATTAAACAATAAAATGACTGCCGGTTACGATAAGATACCCAGCTTTTTGGTGAAAGACTGCTCTAGTGTTTTAACGAAACCATTAAGTATTATTTTTAACGTAATACTAAAAAGTAAAAAAGTTCCTAAAATATGGAAAATATCAAGAGTATGTCCTGTACTAAAAAGTGGTGACCCAAGTGACATGAAAAACTACAGACCAATATCTATTCTGTGTAATTTTATTAAAGTACTGGAATGTATTTTATATAAAAAGATTTATTGTCAAATAAGTAATGATTTTTCCCAATATCAACATGGATTTGTAGAAAAGCGTTCCACTATGTCGAACTTGGCCATAATTGCACAATACCTAGCTGATGAACTCGATAATCGCGGGCAAGTCGATGTAATATACACAGACATCCAGAAAGCATTTGATCAAATAGACCATGGTGTTCTTTTAAAAAAATTATTTAACTTTAATTTTGATGAGGATCTTGTACAGCTGTTTGAAAGCTACCTATTAAATCGAGTGCTATTTGTTGAAATAAATAATTATCAATACATTTGTTGCTACTTCAGGAGTTCCACAAGGGTCTAATATGGGACCTTTGTTATTTTTAATTTTTATAAATGACCTGCCTAATTTTATTGGATGCTTTAAACTGTTATTCGCAGATGACCTTAAAATTTATACATCAGTTAAGTCCTTATAAGATTGTATTTGTCTGCAATCCAATCTTGAATTTGTGTCCCTGTGGTGTAAACAAAATAGTCTAAAATTAAATATTTCAAAATGTAAAGTTTTAACGTACACACGAAAACTAACTAAAATTAATTTTTTTTATAATATAAATGGCACTGTGCTTGAACAGGTTAATACAATCAGGGATCTGGGTGTTGTCTTTGACTCGGTACTGTCCTTTGATGATTATATATCAATAATGATAAAGTCTTCTTTTAAAATGCTTGGTTTTATTATTAGAACGTCAAAAAATTTCACAAGCATTGATTGTTTAAAAATCTTGTACTATTCTTTTGTAAGATCTAGACTAGAATATGGGTGCCTTATCTGGTATCCATATTACAATCATTATAAGAATAGTATCGAATCAGTACAAAGGAGATTTGTGAAGTTTTTGTCTTTTAAAATAGATCGACGCTACCCCGAGAGAGGCTCGGATTTGTCTGGATTTATGACCAGGTTCGATATCCAAATTTTGGAATTGCGTAGAAGAATTTTATCTGTAACTTTTTTATATAATTTGTTGCACAATAATATTGACTGTAGTGATCTTTTATCAGAAATTAAGCTCATTGTACCTAGTAATACTCGAAACCAGAAAACTTTTTTTATTCCCAGAGCAAATACTAATTTACTATTTAAGTCACCAGTTTTTGTTATGTGCAACAACTTTAATAGTATTTGTGTAATGTGTGATTTTTACCACTTTTCTTTAAAAAATATTATAAACTTTATCTGTTAATTTGAATGTTCTTTTTGGTTTTGTACTGTTGGGCAATAAACGTTATTATTATTATTATTATTATTATTATTATTATTATTATTATTATTATTATTATTATTATTATTATTATTATTATTATTATTATTATTATTATTATTATTATTATTATAAATGCTTCTAGCAAGCAAAGTTATATGTTTGCGGGTAAGGGTTCCTAATAATAATGAAGGCTCGCTCATACAATTGATTGACAATAATTTATTACAATAAATATTAATTAAAGGTAATTGCTGCCAATTTTTTCTAGGCAAGCAATACTATAATAGTTCGAAAAAATATCTGTACCAAAGGTTATTATTTTTTGTAAAATGCAAATTGAATATATTATCCCTAATTTTTTTACTGGTTATTGCATTTCTTGTAATCACATTACGATTATTAATTTATTTTCAACAATATTATTATAAAAAACGGTGTGGGTTCGTCACTTCCGTCTCGTGTCGTTTTTTCTATGTTTATTAATTACTCTTCATCTTAAAACGTACTCTTTTTCTTAATCCTTGAATTTGAATACTCGATTCAAGTATAAAGCATATAATATTCCTTTTTACATAACCATAAGACAGAATAAATAACATTTATTAGCACTAGATTTGTATGCTTGACTCAGGTGTAGAAATTATAACATACACCAACTTTGACTGCAAATACTTCAAGGGAAGTATTGAAAAACTTGACCCGTGGAGAAGTATTCAGCACCTTGAGTTTCCTTTTCATCACAAAATATTCAAAGAATATGCGGTTAAAACGTTCACGTAAGATATAATTCATAATATTTATCACTACGAGATTAAAACGCTTGACTTAGGTGTACAAATCAGAACATACATAAACTTTGACTGTGAATACTTCAGAGAGGTATTGAGAAACTTAATTCGTTGAGAAGTATTTAGCACCTTGAATTACTATGTAGAACATCAACGTCAAAAATCAATACAACTGTACCAGACAACCTCAATTTTCCTCGCAATGTTGTAGAAAATTTAAAATAAATATTTAAAAATGTTCGATACATTTTAAATATTTTGAATTTTTTTTTATTTTTACGTTTATTTTCGCATTAGCAACAACAATTATATTTTTCAATTGTATTGACTTTTTACGTATCATAACGTCGTTTTAAGTTGTTTCAACTCTTGTTATTAAACGATGTATACATCTTCTTTATTCATAATATGTAAACCACAAGCAAAACTATCATTTTTGACAATTTTGCCACTTTTGTTGTAAATGCGAAAATGTACGTGAAGATAAAAAGAAGTCTAAATATATCAAAATGTTCGTTATTAAATTTCCTAAAACATTGGAGGAAAAGTGAGGTCTCATACGGTTGTATTGATTTTTGACGTTAAAGTTGGACATAGATGACGAACATGAGGTTTTCGTTAGGTTAGATCAAGAAGATCTTTTTGACCATATCTTTTAAATAAATGAGTAAAACACCCTTGGAGCTTAAATTTGCGCAATATTATACTCTTCTAGAAAAAGTAATATTTCTTCATATCTCCTGTATTGGTGTTGACAAAACCAAGCGATTTTTTCAATTAAAAAATAAACTGAAAATTGCCTATCCGATTTTTTGCATACCTATTCGAAGTTTTGGTTGCCCTGATCACGAAAAAAAAAATTCCCAACTTTGTTGCAATATCCTTGTACGACAGTGTAATTGTTGCAGAAGAAACAAACTGTCTATTTAATTAAAAAAAAAAAATGAATAATAGTTGTAGTATACCTTGAACACGGGCCTGATATACACTAATTTTTTAGTAGATTTTATTTTTATTAAATTCACTTTTATCCTAATAAAAACTTACTTATCCATACGCTTGTTGTTACAGGCTATACATTTGGTTGGTCCCTTTCCAAAACATCCTTGGTCATCACATTGCTCGTCGCAATTGTTCTTAGTTTCTTCATCGTTATCAATACTATTCCTACTGTTTTCTCTTACTTTAGTCTTCTTTCCGTCCAGAGAACTCACTGCCACTTCGGGATCCGAACCAGAAAAGGAGTAAATGTTCTGGAAGTTATTGAAGTTCCTGAATAAATCGCTGTCGAAGAATTTGTTGGTCGGTTCTTGCGCCGGCTGCTGCGTTGGGAAAGTGAAACTGTTCAAGGGTGTTCTCCACGGAGTGGATCTGGGACCGTTGCTTGGCCTTAGACGGATTGGGTTGACAGAGGTGCCGTAGAAGATCAATTGCCATTTTTTGAGCAGTCCTGGTTGGTTTACGTGTCTGGTTCCAGCGTTTTTGATCTGCAAATGCCAGCGACCTTCGGCTTTTTCTCCCCAAAAGTGGACGGACAAGAATGGCCAGTCGTCAAAGTTGGAACTTACTACGTCACGCGGCCTTTCGAAGAGCAGAGTTGATGTGGTGCCCATTGGTGATGTCAACACTATTCTCAAGTTACCACGAGGGAAGAATCTCAGGGATATTTTGCATTGCACGTGCTCCAAAAAGTGCACTTCGTTGAGGGTGTTGCCACAAGCATCCACATCCATAAATAGGTTTAGAGTGGATTCAAATTCAGGTGATATTTGACGGTCTTCCAAAACCTCCTGGCTTTTGCAAATATGTTGTGGAGGAACCGTGGTCCATTTCTCCGCCAAACTCACCAACGCGCCGGCATCCATTAAACCATAACCAAACTTATGCGAAACTTTGCGCTTAACTCCATTCAAAATCCAACCATTTTCTTTTTCCAATGGGCTCGCTCTCGAAGTCAACACAACCAAATATTGCAAGTCCCTCCAGGTTAGGCTAGGGTTAGCTTCCAAAGCTAAAGCGCAAATACCGGCGGCTAAAGGTGCAGACGCCGACGTTCCTGTGTGTTCCACGGTGCAGATGTGGTCGGGTCGAAGGCGGGCGTCCATGTCTACCGTCGCGACGCTTTTATCGTGACCTGGCGTTCCGGAACTGTACGTGGTAGCCAATGTCGACGAGCATTCTTCCAAGTACCAAGGTTTGTAACTGGAAAAAACGATTAAATAAGTAAATAAAAAAAATTAAATACTGTTTTTAATAATTAAAATGATATTTTTCTTTAATAATCGATCCACACAAATTTTCAATGAATTTTAATCGCAAATAACTTTTTTATTTGATTTCCGATTTAAACGAATATTAAAGAATATTATAGATAAATTAATGGAGAATAGCTCACATTTTAAACATTTACTAAAAAATAGACGTTCGTTTATAATATACAGGTTTAAACAAAAAGATGATTTTTACCATAAGTTTAAGACACTCTGTAGAGTGGCAAAACCGTATATTGTTCTAAATTAAGTTTTAATTATCAAGTCACGTCTATTCTTAACGGTTTTGTTTTTGGTTCACCTCGATATATTCATTTTTATTGAAAATATGGATTTTTTAAGAAAACATTGCAATTTGCAATATTTTTTTGTACGACGAACTAAGGTTGCTATGGTCCATCCATAGCCTATGGAGGATGACAGTGACAGTTTTGTTGAATCATCCCATACTTGGACATGTCATATACGGCTTTGAAAAGCTATCAAATTGTTTTTTGTAAATTAATGGGTTCCTTTTGAGGTGTTTTCTTACTTTTAAAAATGGATATGTCTCCGACTGATGTTGCCAGAGCCTTTGCTTTAATCCAGGACGGTAACAGTATTACTTGGCAAGTTTTACAAGAAGTACAATTTAATCAGCATGGTGAGTACAGTAGAAGGAGTATGTGATATAAAGAGGTATACGCAGGGGCGTAACTAGTCATGTGTGGGCCCCGGGGCAAGGACATGAATTGGGGCCCATGGATAAAATTTAAAAAAAAAACTGTTTAAAATAATATAAAACATGTTTTTGTCTTTATTTTAATCTTTTTTAACAAAATAATGAGTAAAATTGTGTACAGGTAATAATAGGTATTTTTTTAAACTTCATGGGTTGAAATCATCTAAAATTGTTTTCAGGCGCGTGAAACGCAGGAATTACAAAACTGTTTTTATAAAAAAAAACTGTTTTTATAAAAAAAAAAATTGTAGATTTCTCTTGTCTCGTCCAGACCTGTCAATTATTAAAGTTATCTCTACTTTTATAAAATATTTCTTGCGATTTTTTAATTTAATGTATAGCTTAATATATAAAAGAAGAATAATAATATTATTATATAAAAGAATATTTTTGACAATTTTGGTGCCAAAATATTATATAATAAATCACCTACAATTTTTTTTATAAAAACAGTTTTGTGATTTCGTCACCTGAGAATTATAGTGTTCTATCTGCATTTTCTTTTTTTAATTCAGGTTAGTCTTGTTTTAAGTATTAAAGATGCATATTGTTCTATCTATATATAATTGGGGTAGAAATTGTACAGTTTAAGCCTTAAACTGTACAATTTCTACCCAATTATAAACAGATAGATCAATATGCATCTTTAAGACTTAAAACAAGACTAACCTGAATTAAAAAAAGAAAATGCAGATAGAACACTATAATTCTCAGGTGACGATTTGTCCCGTCCGCATGCCTGAAATGGCCCTAATCACTGATGGCTAATAACTATAGAATACTTTTTTATTTAAGAAATCAAGATTATGAATAATATAATGGATTTTTTCTGCTGCCTGAGGATTTTATTTTTTGCTGTAAGACATTTAATTTTTTTTACGTTTTGGGGGCCCCTACCCCAGGGGCCCTGGGTCGGTGCCCCGGCTGCCCCAGCCTAGTTACGCCCCTGGGTATACGAATGAACGAGATGATCGCTTTATTTTAATGTTTTACGTGACGGAAGAGTAACTTCTGCGGAGGTAAAAAACAGAATGGAGGACGTACGACAGGTCCAAGTAAGCAAGAGCACGATAAGAAGGTTTTCTGACATTGGATTACACGCAAGAAGACCTGCAACGGCACCCGAGTTGCTAAGAAACCACCAGACGGTCGTCAAAGAATCTATAGGAGAACAGAAGAACGTTTTGAGCAAAACCATTTTTTGCCCATGGCGGAGGCTCCGTGTGTGTCAGATCCAATCTGTTTTTTACTTCCACAGAAGTTACTCTTCGGTCATGTAAAATATTAAGTCGAATAAAGCGATCATCCCTTCATTCGTACACCTCTTACTACCACATTGACTCCTTCTACTGTACTCACCATGCATGGTGATAAAACCGATTTACAGCTCTTTGTACTGTGACGTTTAAAACACTTGCCACGTAATACTGTGACCGTCCATCCTGGATTAAAGCAATGGCTCTGGCAACAGCAGTCGGGGTCATATCCTTTTTTAAAACTAACACATTAATTTACAAAAAACAATTTGATGGCTTTTGAAAGCCGTATATGACATGTCCAAGTATGGGATGATTCAAACAAAACTGTGACTGTCTGACAGTCACTGTCATCCTCCATAGGCTATGGTTGTACCATAGCAACCTTAGTTCTTCATACAGAAAAAAATATTGGAAATTGCAATTTTTTTTGAAAAAATACATATTTTCCACAAAAATAAATATATCGAGGTGAATCAAAATTTAGAACAATATATATGGTTTTGCCACTCTACAGAGTGTCTTAAACATATAGTATAAAACATATTTTTGTTTAAACCTGTATTTTATAAACGTACGTCAATATTTTAGTAAATTTTTAAAATGTGAGCGATTCTCCATTAATTTATCTACAATATTCTTTATTATTCGTTTAAATCCGACATTAAATAAAAAAGTTATTTGCGATTGGAATTCATCGAAAATTTGTGTGGATCGATTATTTTGCCTGTGAGTGTATATGAATAAAAACATTTATATTTATGTTAAAAAAACAATTGTTTCGCTATACGGCTGCTTCTTTAGAATAAATACAAATTTGTATTAAGTGGCGGTATTTATATTAGTAAACATAAATAAAATAGTGAAACTTTAAAACAGTGTTGTTTTATCTCATTTATTAATAATATGTAGTTTCATCAAGTAAAGGTCGAAACAATAAACACCATTTTTCTTTGTTTACTAGGTCTCTTATAATTGATGAAAACTATTTACTTATTTAAATGATAACTTACCCCCCTTGAGTGGCACTAGAAATACTAAGGGTAAAAATACTGTTGGTATAACCATCACAATTGCAAGAATCGGTGTGTCTTCCGCCATTTCCCGAGGCCCACACGAAAATGGAACCTTTACCCTTACGTCCGCTAGTTACTCCGTAGATGAAGGCTCTTCTTGCCAGCGGTCCGGGTCCATCTACCGTCTTGCCGTCATCCTCCGGTCCCCACGAAGCGCTGTAGATGTCAATGTGCTCCGGATTTAGACCCAGAGCACGGGCTTCCACGGCATCGTTGACAACCCCATCCAACATTCGAACACCTGAAAATTAAAATATAATATAAATGAATAAGAAGAAACTGAACACATAAAATGAAAAAATTGATTGAACAGCTTTTGAATCATGCACAGTAAAAAAAATCAACTCTAAGCAACACTAATTAGAGTTCACACAGGTCCACACTAAATAGTGTTGTTTTATAACAGTACAATTAGAGTTAATTTGTAGTGTAATTTTCCCCAAGTAAGCAAGTATGATTTAACACTAGCACTAGCACTGAGGATAAAGTAATTTTACACTGTATTAAAAAGTTTTAATTTACCTAAAATCGTGTACTTCTACACTTCCTGGGTAAAATCCCACTTTTGTTCAGTGTAAATTAACACTACTTTGGAAAAGTTCTAAATTTAGAAAGGTACTTTTATTCTTTTAGTGAAAACTTCTAGTGTAAATTAACACTATTATTTGAGTAAAACCTATTGGTGGTAGTGAATAAAACGAAAAGGTAAATAAAGAGAAACATTTATTTGGAACAAAAATCTATGACAATTATCAAAATAGGTGCCTTTTAAAATATAATTTTATATTTGAGTCGTATGGCTGGCTTAAGCAAAATGGTTCCTTAAAACGTAAAAGTTTTAGATCAATGCAATGTTTTGGATGTCAACTTGTAAGCAATGAATTATCTTGAGAATTCATCAGTAATCCATTTTTCTGTTATAAAAAATGGGTGATCCCATTGGTAGAGAGGCGTCAGGCGGCTGTATGTCGGGGATTTACCACACGTGTACAAATGTTCCATAATATTAATAAAAATGTAGGTATAGGTTAATATAACAACCATTACGCTTGAAAATAAAAAGTAAATCAAGTGTGTATGTATTTATATTATTAATGTTACAAGTACCCGACCTACTGCCGTAAATTATTATTATAGGTCAAGTATGGACATCCTTTTAACATATTGGTATTTATTGAGTATTAAGGCTTAAAGAAAAAGGAAGTATAATACTTACCAAAAAATAAGAATGTCCTCTTATGGATTCACCGTAATTAAAATCTTCGGATATGCACTGCATAGGTAGATAGGTACCAACCAAACATTTTAAAACGCATTTCGGTTATTACCAGTTTTTTCAGTCTATTTTGACACTATTGGTGAAATTTAACTTTAATTGTAATACAATGTGCACTAGTAGTGTAAAGAAAAAAGCTCCTAGTAACATCAAAACAGACAAAGAAATTGGCATACACTGTAGTGTACATTTTGTCACTATTTAACACATTAAGGGGTAATAAACACTCGCATTAAGTTTTTCTACCCTTTTGATTTATTTTAATAATAAGGAGTGTGAATGTACCAATGAATAATGTTCATATTCTTTAAAAGTGTTTAATAAAGTTAATAAGCACTAAATGCTACCTAGTGTATTTTATAGTTTAACTTTTACACTTACAAATCAACTCTAATATTTTTACCCCTACACTAAAAAATTTACACGGGCAAATTTTTTTACTGTACATGTATTATAAAAAACATTAACAAAACACAAATATTTTGAGCATATCATTTTTAATTTATTATATTCAAAGATGGCTTCATGAAGCTTAAAATGACATATTCCCATTAAACTACATTGAAATTAATCATTGCTCAATAACCAATTAGGTACCTTAAAGCTCTTTAAGATCTTGTTAGCGAGAACTATTCGGGTGTAAGCCTATTACTATCTAGGACGTATGATTAATGAAAAGTACATTTCTGTGCAATCAAGAAAATTAATTTCAAGAATTGTCTTTAGATAAATTGAGACCGGGTATTTATAGGTACATTTTAAGTGGAAACAAAAATTTAATACAAATATATTTTATAATAAAATAGTAAAACAATATTATAATTGTTTTTTTTTTCATCTCCAAAAGGAATAAAAAACCATATTTTTTAAAAATATAAATAAAAACCAAACAAAAAAGGCTCGTATTAAATAAAAGTTAATTATTAAAAAGGCATTGTGCTGAGAATCCGGTCTCTACTGATAAGAATAAAATGAACTCCCATATTGTCCTCTAAAAAAATAAACGTAAAATTCGTTTTGTTTTACGATCATTTCGGGGCACATGCAGAACGCGCGATAAGATAAAGGCTAAGCAGTTGATGTAAATTGCATTGTTCCTCCGTAATAAATTGGCTTCAATTAGAAAAGGAAGGAAAAATTAATTTGGGTCACCACCTCGGTGGCCATATAATAGAATCTCACTGGTTTATGTCGCATGTAAAAAGATACCCTTCCATATCCGCGTACGTCTTTTTCGAAACAATTGCCCCTCGGAGACAAAGAATATTAGAGTACAGCTATTATTATATAAAATCCTTTTCGCTTATCCTTTATACTATTTCCCGTTTTGAAAATTAAATTCTTTTTTACAGCGCCTAATTTAATTTTAGTGTTTTTATTTCTACAAAACCCACTATAATATGGGTCAGGTAATTACAACAGATATTCAACACTAATTCTAAACCTTAGATCAAAGTATTATACATATAATAACATGGTTCCTCCAGAATTTTTTTTGTAATCTTGTTTACATTGGCAAATAACATGTTGTATGTAAATTACATAATGTAATACACCTCGTTCTATCAATTTTTAGGTTATATATATTTTTTCTCTTTAAAGTTATGTTATTAATAATTATGCTTGATTGTTTGAGTTATTTATTTTTCTCTAATCAGCCGACTGTAGAAAAAACGTAATTACATGAAATTGTACTGATAATTATTGAAAATCATCATTTATAAAAAGTTTGGTACGAAACTCCAAAAAATTTCATAAATTGTCAATTCAACTGATAAGATCTTTTTTAAAGAAAATTAAATTTTCTACAAGTTTGTCCTTTACATTTTTTCAAAGAATCCAGTCACTTTTGAAATATCTTCAAAAATATGAGAATTTTTCACTAAAATAAGAATTAGTGACCCGTACAATCCTACAGGTGCAGATTACAGAGCTGCTATGGCACATAAAGCATTTTTGTAGAACTTTTTATTACGAGTAAATCCTTTTTTGAAACAATCCAATAGCATAAAATGCGGCTGAGATATAGATATTTAAAAAAAATAATCAAAGTTTACGGGTATTTTAAATGGGAAATCTTTATACGCTTTGGTAGAGTACTTTGAGTTAATATTAAGAGCTCAAACTTTCAGGGAGTTTTTTTTAACATTTTCAACAGTTGGGAGCGAAAAAATAAATATTCTGAAGTTTGAGGCTCGATATCTTTGAAACGGCTTGACTTACGCAAAAAGTCAATCAGACCTTTTTTGTAGAGCATTAAATTTCCTATAAGGAGTAATTTCGTCATACTTATAAAGTAGCTCGTTATCACGTTACAAAATTCCAAATTTGAAAATAAAAATTTCTCATGTTATTTAAATGGGAAATAGAAAATTACAAAACGCCACATCTAAATATTAATATTAAGAGCTCTTACTTTCACAGGGTCATTTTCTAGAGATACTCTGACGAATTTTCAATGTTCTTTGGAAAAAAAAATAGTCGGTTTTTTTGAGACACTCTAATATATATGCACTTGTTTTTATGTACCCAAATATTGTATTATTATTAGTAGTATTATTATCAGAAAATAAGATGAAATTTACATATAGATACCCTAATTATATGTATTTAAATGTCAAGGGGCTTTTTGATATGAAGCATAGTGCATGACTTTAAAGAATTCCACGGTTTTGTGAATACATTTAAGCTCATTCAAAATTCTGCATTACTTTGTCATGATTTCCGTAAATTTTACTTTCGACTAAAACATCTTTTCGCAATGCTTACTTATTCTTATCTTAATTTAACCTTTGTGCAGTCATATTTAAATTCCGAAAGGCACCACACAGTCTCACACAGTGAGATAAAGTTAAAAAGAACCACAAAGGATAAAATGCTAGTCTTAAGGATACTGCACTCTCTCTAGTTGTCCTTTTTAAAACATATTTTATGCGTTTTTTTTGCGTCTGTACTCTTTCAGCTCCACAGACGAAAGGTATTATGAAATATCTATAATATGTAACGTGCATTGAAACAGTGGCGTGCTGAGAGAAAAAAGGGGCTCCATTTTACGTCATTTTATTTTAACTGTCGTCGTTGATTGTATCCCTAAACCAAACGGTTCCAAACCAATAGATGCCTATCTTAAAAAGTATATAGTTTGGAGCCAAATGAAGCGCCCTCTCTGAACTTGGTTAAAAATTAAATTACGTGTTTACAGGCAACTGTTGCCAACATAGCTTTTAATTGGTGGAAAATCAATGTATTTGATTGGTTACTTCAACGGCGCTATATTTAAAATCTAACTTGTGTAACGAAAACAATAGGTAACTTTGTTTTCTACCATGTATTTAAGGTACTTCTGTGGTTATGCTGTTTAGTAATTCTCAATCAACTTTTATAAACTAAAGAAATTCGGAGATTTATGGAAAAGCAATGAGGAAAACAAATGTATGTACATAAATGTAAAACAAGTGTATTTAGTATTATTTGTAAAATCTGTAATTTTTTTAATTTGTAAAACTTGTTGAATCATTATAATACTTATTCCCAAAAGTACAACTCATATATGGTAAGAAACATTGTTTTTGTTATTTATGAAACTCTACCAAAAGTAACTGTCTCATTGATCATTATTTTGAAATTGAAGAATACCTACTGTTAAATCCATAAATTTTATTAAACAATACATGTCTACCATCTGAAAGATTATTATTGTATTTATTATATATTCGGTCAGTTTCGTTTATAAATTACTATAATAAAAACCTTACAAACAATACATAATAAAAACGCACAAATACACCAAATCTTACAAAAATGCGATAACTATTTTTTTTACGGATGTAATTAAACGTCAAAAAGGTGAAGACGCCCTCTCTTGGCTTGGCTAAATATTATAATACTGTCCCAACATCCGACATAAGATATTCATCTATTGGTTTGGTCTAGGATTGTATCCTCGATTCGATTTTTAATATACA